TTCATGATTTCAAATATTGCTGCTTTTTCCTGGTCTTACTGTGGGCACAGAAATGGCTGTCTCAGACCTTCCTCTGAACACCAAGCAGCACATTTCCTGTTGATGTTTGTGAGCATCCCATGATGTTAGTGGCAGGGGTCAGCCTGGCCCTGAAAGTGGCTGGAGCTCATCTTTGCCAACTAGACTGGGTTCCTGTTGGCTTGTACCCATGAACATCCTGTCTGCTGGGTGGAAGATTTGTAAAACGTAGGAGAATACAGCAATATGTGCTGAAGACAATTAATAGGAGGAACCATGAACTGTCTGCTGTTACATGGATTGTATAGGTTTTTTAACACAACATATCCTTTGTTGGATAAGCTAAAAATAAAATATACATTAAAAAAACCTCACTGTATGAGCATTAAAGGTTGTTGGGATCTTGTACTAATAACACTTTGAAGTTACATGGCATAACCAAAGGCCCTTGATACAAGTGTGATCTTTTTTTGGGTTAAAATTAATTTTTGTATTGTGTATGCAACACATAGCTACTAATCTTTCTTCAACATTACGACTGCATGCTCTTTTATGGTTAATCAAATCATGTATCAATATCTCTTCCTACTTGTTTCTGTAGTTGTAGGCAGGTCAGAAATATAAATTTTGGCTTCTCTGGAGAAGGTGAACCACTGAGACTAAAGGAAGAAAACTTCTGTTCAGATAACATAGTCAGTAATCAGCACTGGGCAATAAAAAAGCCAGAGTGACAGAACCATTATGGAGTTCTCGGCATTGGGCAGTTTTATTACCAACAGTAATGGGCTATACTGGCTTCAGGCTCCTTCCTTCCGAAGCTGCTGCCTGGAAATAAAGTCTGGGAAACTCAGGCATCAAGGTGAACTACCAGAGTGACTTCCAAAGAATTAGAGGTGAGCACAATGGGGAAAAAAAAAAAAGGCCCTTGCTTTGTCATTAGGAACTTCAAGATAAAATTGTTAAAATTTCAGCTGTGAGTTAGTGTTACCATGTGCGTCTGTTATGAGACAGTCCTTGAGTTTATTTTCAAAAGTAGTTGAGAGATTTTATTAGCATCTTTAGGGTAGTTCTGAAAATATTACTTGAATTTCTACCTCATGCTGATTCTGCAAGAGATGTAAACTTCCCCCTTTATTTTTTAAAAATTTTGTATGTTTTAAATTCTTAAACAATGACTACTTTTAATTTATTTTTTAAAAATTGGTTCATTCCATTCTTTTTGTACAAAATGAGCAATCTTCAGAGATGACATTTAATGAAAAACACAGTAATCCCCCAGGGAGCAGGGATCATGCCCTCACACTGTGAGTCCTCTCAAGAGCATACTTCTGAATCGATAAACTTTGACTTGCATGTTCAGTTGCTTCCAAAATTTATGTGAACAGGAATTACCCCAAACTCATGGTAACAAGAACCTGTCCAATCAGTGCATTTTTATCAAATAAAAGTCATACAAGCAGATGGTAAGTTGAATTTTATTTGGTCCACAAGAAAATATTTTCCACAAAAAATGTAGTAAAAATATATTGTAGTGTGTTTTAGTTGGGAATACTGATGTGTCTTAGTCCAGAAATGTCAGTTTTACAAAGTTGTGCTGCAGTTAACATGTTTTGAACCATTATTAGACTGTCAGGTCAGTCACATCATACTCACTCAGACTATACTTACGTTTCTTGGAGAAAACAGAAAGCAAATGTATTTTTAACTCCTAAATAGAAGTAAATGGTTTTGCAGAGCATGCCAGTCCCATACCAGAGTGCCTTTATTACCTGAAATCAAGTCAAAGAATCAGTGGCAACTTAGCTGGCAAGCCACTCTAAGTGGTTTCATAAGACTGTAGCACAGTTTAGAGTAATGTAATGATGAGTAAACGGATGTCATTTTATTTAGGTAAAGAAGTCTTTATTATTATTATGTATTAGTATTGTGCCTATTAAAAATACAGCAGAACTCTGGAAGGAGATCTCTTTTCATCTGTCACCAGATTGTAGTATTGAACAGGTTTTTTTCTATTATTATTAAGGGTAACTGCATTATTTATTAAGGACAGCATCTTGTAGAAGAGAGTATTTTCCTGGTGAGAAGCTGTCTCCCTGTTGTTTGTAAGCTTATTTGCCAGCTTGTTGGCTTTCCACTTGCTGCGTGCCCTCCCTGAAGCGCAGTGTCGTAGAAAGCATCGTAAACCAGCTGGAACTGCACCTCAGGCCACGCTGGAGCTGCTGCGGCCTCCACGCGCTAATGAGGGAAGAGCAGCTTTGTGGCTGCGGGACATCACCGGCCGCAGGCGACTGGGTCACTGCTGCGGTACGGGGGGCTCTGAGCAGGCGGCGCAGCCGTCCCGCTCGGCGAGTGCTCCGCGTGGAAGCTCACCGTGACGCGTGTGTCGTTACACCTACAGGACTTCCTCCTTCGGGGAAACGTTGAGTATTTATCAGCACGGGTGCACGATGTAACCTTAGGTTGGTTTATGTTCTGCCTGCTGCGCAGCGGCAGCCTGCTGACGGAGAAGCTGCTCTCAACAGCGCACCTGATATTCTGACCCCAGAAGACTGCCCAATCCTAAGGCTACATCCAAAGAGAGGATTCGAGCCACTGCAACACCTAACGCCCCCTGGTACCTGTACAAGGGCCGAGACAGATACACCTGAAGGCACTCCTGAAGGAGTGCAGTTTTCTCTCTGCTCTTCACCCATGTCAGTGGCGTTGGGAGATTTTTTTTTTCCCTTTTTTTAGATTAAAATTACTTTCTTTGGCAGCATTAACACTGTCCAGTCAAGACTAATGTTGCATAAAAGTTGGCGTGTTTCTGTAACAGAGCTTTATTTTAGCTATAATAAGAATAGGAATCTTTTCCTAATGCTGTGGTGAAGCAATATCCAATTAATCTGTACTGATCTGATCAGTGATTTGGTTTTGCTTTTTAATTCACCCTAGTATATGGGATGGAGGTTTTTTAGATAGAGCAAATGTAGGGTAGAACTGATGTTTTACCTGCTTTAGGGCTCCAAGGAACATCACTGCTAGCAGCAGAGTTTAAATGGGCCGTAATATCGCACCTTAGTCCCACTTTACATAGAATCACTGAATGGTTGGGGCTGGAACGGACCTTAAAGCTCATCTAGTTCCAACCCCCCTGCCATGGGCCGGGACACCTTCCACTAGAAGCCACATATGGCTTCAAAGACAACTTCATTACTTCAGAGGAGACAACAGTACAACCTCAGCAGATTTTGTTCCTTTTTTCGGCAAAAGCCCAACGACAGCCGTAGCAGCCGGGCCTGGTCTGCTCGGTGTGAATGAACACCCAAGTGTTTTTCACAGTTTACTCTTGATACAGCCACTTCCCCATACAGGTGAATGGCAAATAACTAAGGTTGTGTCACACAGTTTGCAAAACAGCTCCATTCCAACTGCCGTACGAGGATAAGTGGAAAATAACAACCGACACGGTCCTCCTTCTGCTTGCTCACCGCTGCTTGGAAAATCACGTGTTGTGTCATTTACTGGAACTACCTTTTAAAAATGATAACAGGTTTTGCCAGTATGGAAAGCATTTTTCTATAAAATGAAAATGTCAGATGGAAAGCACTTTCTAGGAAAAAAAAAGTCTTTTAAACTGGCCATTACAGAAAAGGGAACAAAGAGCTGCGAAAAACCCAAGCTTCTGCAAGGCATTCACCGTGTATAAAACGTCAGCACAACTGTAGCTTGAGGATGTCTGCGATTAATTCATCCCTCTCTCGGTACCTCAGATGTTAGTGACGAGTACGGCAGGTCAGGCTGCAAGTCCTGGGGAAGCCGGGTGCAGCGTGCCCGGGCACACCAGTTAAAACCGGTGAGGAAGGCAGCCCATCAGTTTGGGGCCGAAGGCTTATTCCCTAATTCTGTGCGCTGCTCGGGCTGTACCTTTGTGCAGCTCCTATTTGCATTGCCACACACACCACTGGGTAAGCGATGAGCCTACAGAAGCCCAAGGAAGGCGTACTGCCCCCAGGGTGTTACTTTGGGGTGAGTTTTTATTGTAATGCAGCCATATTTCCCCTGAAACAGCCCTAAAACACTCTCACACCCTGTGGAAGGGTCATTTCCCTAGTTAGCATCAGTAGTTTTTGCACACCTGTCTGGGTCACAGTGAGAAGAACCAAACCAACCAAAAGCCCCCAAACCCAGCACCCTAACAAAAAAACCCTAGTCAAACCCCCAGAAAACAGGCAGCTTTGGTCTGACACTGTGATCAGCTGTCACTACACTCACTGTAGGATTTTAGAGAATGGCCTTCACGCGTTCACAGAACCCAGAGCATCTGCTGCTTACAACGCACTGTTTATCGATGCTGTAACCTCTCTCACCGCATCACTTAAGAATGGAAATTGAATCGTATCCTAATCCACACGGTTCCCTGAATACTCCCTGGGTTTATAAAAGGCATCTCACCACCTCCCTCACTTCGTGGCTTACAGATTGAGTCAGGACATAACTCAAAGGAAGATTTATGGCAGCAGTTACCTTTGCTACACACAGACCTTGGTTTCACTTCAGTGAAATGCAGATTTACCAAGACTTGTTCTCTTTTCACCTATAAACAGGGCACCGACTTTTTTTATGCGGTACATAAAAATAACCCAGGCTTCATCCTTAAACACCTCTGGGTCCGCTGTGGCACTGCTTGTACAGGGCAGGGCAGCCACGTTCTTCTCATCCTCCTCTTTAACACTGAGTTCTGATCACATTCAACACGTACAAAGACAGAATATACTCACGGCTGATAACAAAGGACAACTTGATTAATAGATTCTACTGTAATCCAATCAGTTTCTTAGCAATACAGATTAAAAGGCAAATTTTTTTCAGCCTCCCCTTGCAAACACGCTCACACAGTGGCATTGTGCTCAAACCACAGCTGATTTTGCTTTACTTGCAGGAGTAGCGAATACAAACCGCTGAGCGGACAGGACGCTCGCTGCAGAGACAGTCCTTGCCAGTCAGGGCACATCGCTTTCGATGTAGGGGATGTCGCTGTATTTACTTTCGGTCACTGCCCACTGCTTCACCGCCTGATCCAGAATCTCATGGGAGAGACGGTGTGCGTAGTCCAGCACTATAGTGCTTGACGGACCTTTCTCGTCCACTACTATCAGTGAGGATTTCTCCCCAGTGCACCTTTCATTACCTTCCCTGATCCTTTCATCCTGGATAGCATTTGAACCTGGAAAGGCATCCTTGGATTTGATGCATCCCATGGTACATTTGAAAACGCAGCTGCAAAATTCAGTTCAACAGCATGTTTTGATAACCTGGAAGTGGTTTGCTTGTTCGATGCACAGTGTTGCTGCTTCTTGCTGGTGGGTCCAGCTATTTTCAGAGCACAGAGCGTCTCCTTTTGTGCTTCTTTACTTCCGAAGAAATCTGTCAAAAGAGTGTTTCATACAAACGCAATAAATAGCTTACCATTCTCAGTGAGCTCAAAGGAAAGCTGAATTCACTACAGACGCCTGCAGGAGCAACTTTAATAAATCTCTGCATGAAATGTTTTTGTCAGTAACATCCATCTACTACAAGCGGACAAAGCCTGACCCGTATTCAAGCTGCCTTTGAATGCAATTCCCAGTACGTGACGGAAGTCATCTTGGAATGTAAAGGTCTTAGAAAAGAACAACCACAACCAAACAACTGTTTCTTCCAGAATTAAGAAATTCCGGAATTTATGAATCTGTAAACAAATATCATTTAATTCCAGTGACTGCTGCTGCTAAAAAAAATTATATAAAAAAAGAAAAAACCCAAAACACCCCCCCCAGAAGCATCACCTAACCAGAGCCTGCTCGGTGGCTGCTGTACACCCTTTGGGCAGGAGTGACACTAACTCTCGGCATCGCTCTGCTGCTGCTTGGGAGGCTGGAGCATGCTGTCACCACAAGGTATTCCTGAGAAACAAGAGCTGCCTTTTGGTTCTTCCCTGGAGAGGTTAGGGAAAGCGGCTGCAGGATGCTGCGCCCGAGGCAGTTCTGACAGACCTTGAGCACCGTTCTTACTGAAGCAGGACAACTCTGCATCTAGAGAGGGGAGCGTGAGGAACGGAAAGCCTGACAGGCTTTGCCTGGCATGAGCTTACCCACTTACCAGAGTTAATAGACTGCCAGCCAAAATAACAACTGCGCTGCACAGAAACCAACTGTTCTCCAGCTTCACCCGATGACGTTGCACCAAGGTCAGCCAAAGTTAAAAGATTTTTTTGTAATTAGCCTTTGAAAACATAATCATGGCAAAGATCTTAAGCCTTATTTATTTGCTTATGGACTGGGGGAAGCAGGGGCTCCAAGCTGGTATCCTGATCCCAGGCAAGTACTTGCAGAGGGAACCAATCCCATCTGCAGGCAGATGCTGCTTCACAGGTAGAACAGGACACCCTGACTCACGAGAATCAGGTTCATGGGGACAAGCTTCTCTCCTCCTGCCAGGCCATAAACACATCGCTACCTGTGCGGAAAACAGCCTGCCAGGCTGAGGTGCCAGTGGCAGCTGGTGCTCCTGGCAGCAAGTCAGACCTCAAGGGCTTCCAAAACCCCAAGGTACGTACAAACCCTTCCATACCTTTAGCTTGGTGTCGGAACATCTAGGTGTTCCAGAGAAATGTTTGTAAAATCGCTTAAGTAAAACCCAGCAAGTTTCTTCGGTGTGCGGTGGCATGCTGCAGCACGCGGCACTGCTTTTTAAGAGGAGGCCCTGCAGTTAGCAAGCCTGTTGTAACAGCGTCTGTCGTTTTACCCAGCACAGAGGAGAGCTAAGCTACCAGAGACATTTTTATTGTAAGAACTTGTTACTAAACGAGTAAAAGGAAGGATTCCCTTAACTCACCAAGAAACCACACGTACCCCTGTGGAGGTTGGTAAAAACCCATGAGCTTTGTACCCGTGGTTGTCAGCTACCTGCGACAGTGAAACTTCAAATGCTTACAGAACACGCTTACAGACCAGGGGCCAAAGAGATGCCTGAAAGCGATTCAGACAGCTGAATAATGCAAAACTTTTTAATAGCAGTATCTTGTGCATGTCTGATTTCAATATTTAGCATTAATAAAACATTAATAAAAATAACTTCCACTTGCTCTTCTGTACAAATATGTAGCTCAAATTATCTAATACGGCAAAGAATCACTAACAGCATCTAGAACCCAGCCCTGCTGATCCCTGAAAGCTGCAGTCTTTATCCAGCCAAGGGAACAGACAAGCTGCAGCGGAGGTACACCGGGGTGCTGCCTAACCCCTGCTCACTGTGCTACGGGTAACAATCACAGGTTTAATACTGCATCTTGTGTCCTCCTTAGGCTCAGCCAGAAATGCAAACACTAGATTTAGACCTTGGACTCCCCAGCCATACAAATACTTTACGCCACAGCTGATGCAGCACAGTTTTATCAGTTTCATCCCTGATCCTTTTTTTAATGACTATTCAGATCTAGGTTTCTTATCTAAGTTTGGAGCCATACTCTTTTGCATGTTATCCTTTTCGGGTTTTTTTTTGCTTTCTAAAGGAGGTCTGTTAAATGGTAGCCAGCTTTAGGTAGCATTTTATCATTGTTTTGTTTCCATCCCACAACTGGAGTTTCCTTTCCTCTTGTTAGGGGACAGCAGCAGATGAGCTAGTGTCTGGCAGAAAGGAGGAAGGAATGTGAGTAGAGGGAGGACAAGTATCTCCTAAAGCAGGTAGGGAGAATTACCTGTATCAGCTGCTTCCTCCAGAGGATCTACCTCTGCTCCCACCTTGTTACCTCTGTCTTTTCATTTGAGCTAAATCAAATGTTTGTCTGACTGTCCTACAGAGAGGAAGGGGTGGGCTACAAAACCTCTAGATAGCAAGGCACAGAAGACAATCAATTCACAGAAGACACTCAATTGTTCCAAATTGATGACCAGTTGAGCTTAGAAGGGATGAACCCTAATTTAAATCCTTGACTGTTGTTCATTTCATTATTTATAGGGCACAGTGTTTCCCAAGTCACTGCAGGAAGTTTTACAGTTTGCCTGCTCTGCTTGAGTTAAGAATTGTTGGCACACGAATGATCACCAATGAAGTTGCCCTCAGTCTTCTGACTGCTTTCTATTTTTTACTGACAACCATTGCTTGCACAGATGGGGTAAAAGCACTGTTTAAAGCTCCTCTACCTAACTCCTCTCCAGGGTGTGAAGTTCTGACAGGGATTTTAACCTCTTTTGCTGTCCTCACAACGCTCACACCCTCAGAGGGTGGGGGTGGGGCAAGTTCCTTTTACTCCCAGCACGATGTTTCATTCAGTAAATGCACAAGGCAGAATTCTCTGATAGGAGTCTGTTCATTTCAGCATGCAAGCTCGCTCTGATCTGTTGGCAGTTGTCTTTCAGAAACCGCTGCATAACTGGGTCGAGGCTTGGGCCAAAACCTCTGCAGACGCAGCTCCCCACGTGACGAGCTGCTGTGCTGAGCTGCGGGCAGAGGTTAAGCGAGCTGCGATCCGCTCCATTCTGCTGTCAGCCGGGAATTAAAGCAGCACCATTGCAAACCTTATCGCAGCTTCTCTTTTTAAAGATCAATTTTACAGTAAGTGAAATGTTGATTTAATTCATCTTAAAAATACAGGTTGCCAGTTGTGCTCAATTTCAGTGGACACATAGTCAATATGCTTTTAAATACCTCATTTAACTTCAATACCATAAACGCTGTGCATGGTTTTAAGAAGGGTCCTGAAAACAATTGATTCCCTTCCATATCCCTGGAATTGGAAGTTCCCAAAGACAAGTTCAGGTGTTGTTTTACCTATTACGGTATTTACTACACAGATGCACTGTGGAGATACAAGGAGATAGACAGTATCAAGGGAGTTGTACCATGCAGCTGAACTCACCTTGCTTGAGAGGGCTAAGCAGTCTCTTTGCCAGCCTTGCTAAGTGCTTCCTGCCCAGGTAAGTTTGTTTCTAACCACTGAAGGGAACAAAACAATGGTAAAAAGATGCCTGCATTCACTATTATACAATATAAAATACAAGAAAAATGCATCAATAGCATAACTGCAGTTTTATTTATATAAATAAGACTTTTAAAGTTATTAGAATCATCAATAAGAAATAATTAGAAAAGGATAAAGGCGAGCTATCAAAAAATAAGAGTTTTGCCTGCCTCTCTGGAATGCATCTTCATACGATGAAGACAAACATGAGAAAGACTCCTGCTGTTATGCAACATTTCTAGTCATCACAGTCAAGGAAGTTCTTGCTACCATTTAAATGGTTTCCATCCCTAAGAGCTTTGGAAAAGGTCTCCATGAAGTTCAATGTCGTACTGCAAGGAATCGCTTCCCGTTACAGCACTTTGTGTAGCATCACTCACCGGGTTAAAAATAAGTCACACTTTTCAAAATAGCTTAGTGGTGCTTTGCCCAACTGAACACAGTGATGAGTTTCTGCCGTCACAGAGCCAGGCTCCTCGCTTTCCCAACTCTCAGGTTCAAATGTGACTCCTTGTAACCCTCCTCCACCCAGGGAGGCTTTGCGTTTCGCCCTCAGTACCCACAAGAGGAGCCAAGCCATGCTACTTACCAAGAGTGTGTCTGCGTTTCGCAAGTTGTCCCTCTCGTCCCCGGTACGGCACAGCCAGCTTCACGGCCAGCACTCTGCAAAGGGAGCCAGTGAATAAAACTCAGCGCTCCTGACGGTGTCAAAGTTACACTTAGCACCCAGTTAGATGAATCTTCGTGCTGGCCTTGCAGGAGGCTGCATGCCTATTCCCCCACAGTATTTGACTTTGTCAAAGGCAAAAGGATGACACAGCACCTGGGACGTTAGAGCGAATGGCAGGCTGCAACAATTCACGTGCAGCACCTAACCCTGGGTGTACAGGGGGCCGTTGCTCCAGCAAGTGTCTGCGTGCAGGACTCCAGCCTCCTGCCACAGCAAGCCCGTTACCTCAGTGCTGTCACTGTCATGGGATCAATAGATATTCATCTTTTGTAACAAGATCCTCCAACTCAAGGCAGGTGACCCAGGTGACGTGCCAGCAGAGGTAAAACAAACCACCACTGGGGCATCCAGACCCAACTGCCCCTCATCGCGTTACATATTTATGTTCTCCATGTAATAACGGAGAGAAACAGAAACCCAGACTATCCTACCTCTGCCTGTCCCCTCCCTAACAAGGTGGGACGTTATTCACGAGGATACACGATATTATGCCTTGGGGTACTCTGCAGTTTTGAGCAGAGCCACGGCAC